TTGCATGAGAGTTGAGAACTTGGTGCAGAGATCTTCCTTAGTTGAGCCAAATATAATGTCGTCCACATAGATTTGGACCAGTAAGAGATCTTCTCCATCTTGTAGTTTGAACAATGTCTTGTCAATGACTCCTTTGGTAAATCCATTGTCTATAAGAAATTGAGACAATGTATCATACCAAGCTCTTGGGGCTTGTTTGAGTCCATATAGCGCCTTTTTGAGCCTATACACTTGATCTCCCTTAGTGTGTAACTCAAATCCTGGAGGTTGTTCCACATAGACTTCTTCCTCGAGGTTTCCGTTGAGAAATGCGCTTTTGACATCCATTTGATAGACTTTGAAATCTTTATGGACAGCAAAGGCTAGAAACAGCCTTATAGCTTCAAGTCTAGCAACTGGAGCGAAAATTTCATCAAAATCTATACCTTCTTCTTGACAATATCCTTTGGCAACTAACCGGGCTTTGTTTCTAACAACAACGCCATTTTCATCTATCTTGTTCCGGAAGACCCACTTTGTCCCAATGACATGTTGATGAGTAGGTCTGGGAACAAGTTTCCAGACGTCATTTCTGGAAAATTGGTTGAGTTCTTCTTGCATTGCATTAATCCAATCAGAATCAGCTAGAGCTTCTTCAATATTCTTTGGTTCCACTTGTGAGATGAAACAAGCAAGCATGGCTTCTAGATTCTGCTGGGCACTCCTTGTGCGAACGCCAGATTGAATATCTCCAATGACTTGTTGAGGATGATGATTCCTTAACCAATGAAGATTATGTTGATTGGGATTGACTGGTTGATCTAGTTCGGCTTCTGGTTGAAGAACAGAAGTTGTCGGTGTTTCCGGATGGATTGGCACTGGGTCGCCATTTCTGGAATTGTCACCGTTTGAGAGTTCCGGAATATTGGAAGGCTGGCCAAACTTTCCGGAAGGCTCAGCACTGTCTGAATCCGGATTTCTCTGTGAAGTCTTCAGTGGTAGACTTCGAATGGAATGAACTCCGTAGGTTTCATTTTATCTCCTTCATTGACTTCTTCATCCTTGTCTGAGAGATCCAGAACCTCATGATCATGCTTTGATGGCTTGTCAACCACATGTTTTTAATCAAAAATAACATGTATTGACTCGTCAGTGATCATGGTTCTTTTGTTGAAGACTCTGAATGCCTTGCTCGCCATGGAATATCCTAGGAAGATGGCCTCATCTGATTTTTCATCAAAAGTATTGAGATGATTCTTCCCGTTGTTTCATACAAAGCACTTGCTCCCAAAAATTTGGAAATATGATATATTAGGCTTTCTCCCGTTCCATAGTTCATAGGGAGTTTTGTTGTGCCTTTTATAAATCATACTCCTATTTTGAGTATAGCAAGCTGTGTTAACAGCTTCAGCCCAGAACCTCTTTGGTAAGGAGGCTTCGGCTAGCATTGTCCTTACTGCTTCCTTCAAGGTTCTGTTCCTTCTTTCAGCTACACCATTCTGTTGAGGCGTCCTAGCTGCGGATGTCTGATGAAGAATTCTGTTTTCTTCACAGTAATGAATGATGATTTCGTTCAGGAATTCTGTGCCTTTGTCAGATCTGATTTTCTGAATGGTCTGACTTGCTTGGTTTTGAATCAGCTTCATGTAGTTTGTGAGTTTCCCTTGAGTTTCCTTCTTGCTGTTGAGGAAGATTGTCCACGTGTATCTTGAGTAATCATCAACTACCACCAGGACATATTTCTTTCAACTTAGACTTATTGGTGTAACAGGGCCAAATAAGTCCATGTGAATAAGACTTAATATCCTTGTAGTTGAGGGTGCCGGTTTTTCCTTGAAAATGGACTTGACTTGCTTTCCTTTTTGACAAGCATCACAAATGCTTTCCTTCCTGAATACAACTTTGGGAAGACCTTCTACTAACCCTTCTTTGGATAGCTTGTTGAGGGTTTTGAAGTTGAGATGACTTAACCTCTTATGCCAAAGCCATAGAAGGTTAGTGTCACCTTTGCTGATTAGGCATGCTTCCTTGACATCGTCCCACATCACTTCATAGATATTCCTGATTCTCTTCCCAGTGAGAATAACTTTATTTGTGGAGATGTTCTTGAGGGATGCCATGTCCTTTCAAAATTCCAAGGAGTAACCTTTATCACAAAACTGACTTATGCTAAGAAGGTTATAATTGAGACCTTCAACATAAGATACACCAGCTTGGATGGTTAGTCCCTTGTACACCAGATTTCCTAGCCCTTTAGTAAGGCTGAAATCATTGCTTCCTCCAAAGGTAACTCTTGGACCATCATAGGGAATTAGATTGCTCAAAAGGCTCGCATCACCCGTCATGTGTCTTGAACAGCCACTGTCTAAGTACCAGACACCTGGGTACTTAGCGGCTTCCTGCATTAGGAGGAGGAAGATTTTGGTACCCAATTCAGTTTGGGTCCGGAATAGTTAATGGTGTGTGTCCCTACATCAAGTTTGAAGTTGCAGGGAATTTTCCTTGCAGCTCTAAACTTGTTGGGATTGTAAT